TTCCATTTCCGATCAATTGTGATTTAATTGATTATTATATTTATAATAAAAAATTTAGAACGTTACATTTTTTATATTGACATAACATCGATTGTTCGTTCTGTCACTCTTGTTTTTGAAATTTTAATTCTTTAAACTTTAATATGAGGAACTATAGAATAATTTTATACAGTATCCCATAATTAATGACACAACGCTTGTGGGCAGCCAAAAGTGGATTAAGACAACGAAAAATCCTGTATCATTTTGCAATTTTCGCAATAGTTAGTGAGATATTAATTTTTAAAGATTGCCGAATGAGCTCGTATCTACCTGCACCGATCGTTATTATTGCAAAAATTGTACAATGATAAAGGACTTTTCGATTTAGTTTAGTCCATTCTATCAACTCATAAGCGTTGTGTCAATAATTACGGGACACCCTATATAAGTTATTACTTACGTAAGAACTTTTATACATAAATGTGGCATGGAGGAATAGTAAGAATAAGCAGACTTTTAATTAACTTCCCTGTTATATATGTACAATTTATAAAAAGTTGGCAAATTTTATAAAAAAATAAGCCAACAGTTTTCTTTACAAATTCAGTAAGAAAAATATTATATAAACTAACAGTTTGTCGGTAACAGGAGCGTCTAGCGAGCGTGGAATGCATGTATAGCATGTAAATGACCAAAGCCAGAGGCTAGAAGCGGTTGAAGTCGAAATTTATTGATTGTACTTGGACGTACAATGCAATAAAATTGCAATTTCCTGAATATTGGCAGCATCTTTATTAAAATTATTTTTCTCTATTGTTCATTTCTATCAATATATATATGTACGTATGTATAAGATTTAAGATTAACTTTAATATCTATTTCTACCAATATAGATTAACTTTAATCTTGACTAACTTTCTTAGACTTTTTATCTTTTTATAATTCTTAGAAAAAGTTAATTCCTAAGGAGAACAAGAAAGTTAAAATAATGTCATATTGACAAAAAATAACATAAATTTGGTCAATAATCGATCGATGTGACGATAAATTAACATTATTTTGAATTTTTTATCCTCCTTGGATTCTTACAAAAAGAGCTAGTTCTTAGAAGTAGAAAAAGACATTAAGATCCTGGCGAAAACTTTTTTTAGAATTTTCTTGGAATTTTCCCGAAATCAAACAAATTCGGATTTTTTATCAAATTTTTTTCAAATATTAGATTGTTCAGAAAGTTCGTGCCGTTTTTTTTTAGCACAAAATTGTATTTACAATATCTTCAATTTCAAAAATAAACAAAATTTAATTTAAAAAAAACAATTTTGAAGCTCTACTTTCAAAAGGTTACTATGTTTTTTTTGAGTTTCTATGTGTTTGATCATTTTTACATACAGAAAACTACGAGCTGAAAAAGATAGAAAATTTTCTTCTAACTTTGGATTTATCATTTGCCCAAAAAAATTTGCGAAAATTTTCGGCATCCAAGAAAAAGCTTAAAATTTTCGCTACAAAATCGTTTTTTAAAAATATATTCCTAATATTTTTTGTTACAGAGTTATCAAAAAATCAATGAATTAAATAAAAGAAACATTTTGACTTTGATTGCTCATAACTTCGTTAAAAATCATCGTACCTCAATTTAAAAATCAATTTTTAAAGCTAAAACTTTGCTCTATTAAATGGTATAATAATAACAACAAATATATTGTATGTATAATTTTGAGCTAAAAAAAACGGCACAAACTTTCTGACCAACCAATATATTTATAAGAATTTATAAAAATTACCCAATTTGATAGATATTTTTCCTGCAAAAAGTCTATCCACGTTTTTCAGAAAAATTCGGTACATTAGGCATGAATTTATCCGATTTTAATGGAAAAATGGATTTGCTCGAAAAATCTCGAGTACTCTCTAGCTTTTTTAACAAATGCGACTTTTTCAATTTTTTCTAACATATTCGGTGTCTTATTGTTAAAATTTATCCGATATTTACAGAAACGCGCACTTGTTCGAAATATCTCGATTTCCTTTTCCCATTAAAAATCTTTCCGACTTTTTCGGACAAATATGACATATAATGCCACACACAACACATAAGAATTACCCGATTTTAAAAAAAGCTTTAGTTTATCGAAAAACCTCAATTTCCCTTTTTTAACAAATATAACTTTCCATCCGTAGAACAAAGTCGGTATGTTTTGCCGGAAATTATCCGCTTTTAATGGAAAAGTTTATTCGAGTTTGCTACTAGATGATATTGTTTCTCGCATGTCAAAATTTAGTCAATCTCTCTAATATAACCAGATTTATGCATGCACTTACTGCTAGTGCGATTACATGTTTGCATTAAGGAAGCTAGTGAATATACAGGCTATTCCGACTTTTTGACGTACCGTTTGTAGACTGGTAGAGCGAACTAAACTGAATCGAAAAGTTCTTTACCATTTTGCAATTTTCACAATTTTTTTTTGTTACTCAATAAGCAATTGATAATATATAAAATTAATTCATAAAACAACTTTATATCGATTTTATCCATTTATTCGACAATTTTGAGGATACAGGTTGAGAATACTTCGGTCATCATACCCGGTTAATCTTCCTTCCTGGCGAAGATTAATTGCAAACAAAATGTTTTTACGGGGATTATGTTCCGATAGCTATGTCAAAAATATTCTTATTAGTTACAAAGGAAACATTAGTTTCTAAAGCTTAACTATAAAGTTTGAAGACGCTACGTTGTTCAGTATTCGTTTGGCAGCCATCAATAGTGGACGATCTCGGTGAATTTGCAAAGATGGAAAAAATTGGTCATCGTTATGTGATACAATACTTTCATTTGAAAGGTCTTAGCCCAACCAATATCAAAGCTGAGCTGGATTCTACTCTGGAGGAGTCTGCTCCTTCGTTTACAATAGTAAAATATTGGGTGGCAGAGTTTAAACGAGACCGTACGAGTTGCGAAGACGAACATCGCAATGGTCGACCAAGTGAGGTGGCCATTCCAGAAATGGTGAAGAAAATCCACAAAATGGTATTGGGTGACCGTCGATTGAAAGTGCGCGAGTTAGCAGACATGGTAAACATTTCAAAAAGTGCTGTACATCGCATATTGGCTGAAAATTTGGAGATGAGAAAGCTGTGCGCAAGGTGGGTGTTGCGCTTGCTCACAATCGAACAAAAGCAGCGTCGAGAGGATGTTGAGTTAAAGTTTGAATATTCCCCACGCATCCTATTCGCCAGATTTAGCCCCCTCGGATTATTTTCTCTTTCCAAACTTGAAAAAATGGCTCGGTGGTAGAAGATTTACCAACAATGAAGAGGTGGAGTCTGCGGTTAATGGCTATTTTGAGGAGTTCAACGATTCTTACTATAAACAGCCATCGAAGCTATTGAACATCGCTGGGAAAAGTGTATTGAGCTAAAAGGAGACTATGTTGAGAAATAAAGATATTTTTTCCCAAATTTTTTGTGTTTTCTTTGTTAGATCGGGTACTTCTGGGACCACCCTCGTAGCTATGTTCCGTAAGAGATCAGCTGACACCGTAGTTTTCATTTGCTTTATCGGCTTGTCCAAGAAGAAGATTATTTTTTACTTTAATAATATACATATATATTAATTTAATATACATATATAATATACATATATAACAATGTACATATAGTTGATAAAAGAAAATAAACGAAGGACTTTGATTGGTTTTTTATGCGTGTTTTATCCAAGAGTTCATGCTCCTCGCTTAATTTTGAGTTGGCATATAAAATAGATTCGCAAACAACATACTTTTTAACGATGATCCGATTAATTTTAATTAATAATATCTCAAATAATTAATATTCTGAAATAATTAAGGGTAATTTTTTTCTCATTTTTTCAAATTTAACTTCTTATAAAGGAAACAATGTTAAAATTATATTTTTAATTATTTTTATGTCATTTCATTATTATTACAATATTATTTTGCTTATATTAAATAATTTTACAAAAAAAAGAAACATATATATGGACATATTTTATAAGTATATATTATATTTATATCGTAACATAATTTTACATGTACATGATGTCTCACAATTCATAACCGAAATTTTAATAACGTATTCCTGACTTAAAAATAAGACAAAAATCCTACCATCAAAATGTAAGGCTATAATAGTTTTTAAATTAATTCGTTATACATATTTAAAATAATTCGTTATGCATATTTATTATTTTTAATATTCCGTAATATCTTTATGTTATGTACGTTGCATATGTAATTATTTTCTATGTTTAAACATGATTAGTGAAGTATTTCAACATTATTGTATAAGTTACTACTTCAATCTCGCATGGGGTAAACATAGGCGTACGAACATCCTCCTATGATGTATCATTCCTGAGCATGCGAAATGTCAGCTTTGTGATTATCCAAACAACACGAAGTCGATTATAAGTTGAATGTCGACTGATAATCGACTAATATTTGACGAATGTCTCAAAAAAAGTCAACTAACAGTCAACATTCTAAGTCTTAGAACTTACTCTATGTCAACTGGGAACAGTCAACTTTTAACAGTTAACTATATATCGGCTGAAAAAAAATCGACTTTAAGCCGACAAACAATCACTCGTGTTGTTTTGGGTAGTTAACTTTAACCGCAATTAATTTAAAAACTATTATAGCCTCGATATTTTGGTATTAAAATTAATGTTTTATCTTTAAGTCAGGAACATGTTATTAAAATTTCGGTCACAAATTGTAAGACACTCTGTATATACATATACATATTATATACATATTTATACATATATATATTCATATATGTATATTCCTATATAAAAAATTTTTTATCGGAAACTGCTTGACGTTAACATGACGTTTTATTCTGTTTGGCCTATAATCATTAATTATGCGCATAAATAATAGAGGGACATACAATTTAAAATATATCTTAATAGGAAACGTTTTATCATTTATTATAATATTTAATCATGACTAAAATGCGTTTTACTGTTTTTAAATAAAGAAGTGGGACAGATCTTATAAGTATGTAAAGTGCCAATTTAAGTCATGCATTTATCATATGGCGTGTCCGCTTACCACTGATTTACGGATCTATTACAAACGCAATATCGCATCTTTTTTTCTGCTCGAAATTATAAATTTTGTGAATTGTTCAATATCATTGTACTACAGTAAGTATAATTTATACATTTGTTAAACAATTTGTTATTGTTATATAATTAAATCGATGTTTGCAAATATAATACTATTAGCTACAATATCTGAAATAACTAATCATACAATGCTATTCCTAATAAAAAACTGAGTCAAAAAGTTCTGTACCATTTTGCGATTTTCGCAATAATTAACGAGATATTAATTGAATAATTCAGAAGACTTCCGTCATGCGTACTGTCAACACAATCAACTACATCATTAAATCAGGCAATTTAATGATGTATCTCAGTTTTACCGTACTGTCCAAATGTATCATGAAAAACGCAACACATTTTTTCAAGTCTATAATATTGAGAAGAACCCTAAAATGGGTCGAAATATATATATTGTAATACATAAATCATATTGAATTATTAATGTGATATATTAACATTAAGATCCTGAATCGCGACTGAAAAGCTTTCTTACTATATTTATGAGATATTAATTTCTAAATATTGCCGAATAAACAGATAAAATCAATGTAAGACAATTTTAAGATATCTTTCAGTGTTCTTTGTGAAATATTTTGAAGATGTTTTTTAAAGAACTCTTAAAGTTATCTTACACGTCGATTTTATTATGAAATACGTCACTTTAGTATAAAACTTTAATTTATTATATCTTCTAAACCAATGTCGCTCCCCACTTAATTCTTGTAGGGGTTGTCACTTAGCCCCTACAGCACGAAATATTGCAACAATATTATTTTGAAAGATTGTAATATTTTATAAAACATTGCTGCAATATTATAGTAATATTTCTATATCTGCAAAAATAAAATATTACTATAACATTATGCAATAATTACTCTAGTTCTATTAATTACTAATATATTATTGTTTAGTATCATACTCTAAAATAAATACGATAAAGTTATGATAAAAAAATATTCGAGGATTTAGAAAACACATCCAAGACTATGTTCCGATTCCCATCCGGAATGCCACCCAGGTACTATTCCATTCTTATTTATCGAAGCAAGAATATGATACCCGGAAAACGCCTAGATGGAAATCCGAACAAGCCTCAAAAAAGATTAAGGAGACTCGCTAACTAGATTTGCGTATTTCTTAGAACCCCTAGACGTTTTCTTCTTACGAAAAGCGTATTCTTATAGTGACGAGTACTTATTTAGTGAATTTTATTTTTATAATAATATATTAAAATATTTTCTACAAAATATAAAAATTACAATATTTTGCAATATTGTTGCAATATTTCCAATAAAATATTATAATTGAAATATTGCTGCAATATTTCGTGCTGTAGGGGAAGGTACTTTTCCTACAACATATCTAAAGGATATTGAAATCGATGAGGTGTAACCTAAAAGCATATTTAGTCAATTTAGCTAATATTGCATAGCTGAAACATCTTTAATATCCATAAATATTAAATAAATTTTCCTTTTTAGAAAGAGCATAGAAAATAACGTTTTCTTGAAATTGACTCTGTGCGTTGCCAAAGTATCTGTATTTTCTTATTTCTCACGATCACCATGTGCGTTGCCAAAGTATCTGTATTTTCTTATTTCTCACGATCACCATGTATAATTTATACAATAGATATATAAAACAATATTAATATTAAAGTTGCTTACCCAGGAACAGTACACGATATCGTTTGTAGGAGAACGTGACGGAGTAATTTTCTCATGTTTAATAATGATATAGAATTGAATAAAAGGCGCAATATGTTATAAGATTCTTCATCTGTGTTTAGTGAAATGATTTTTAGAAGATGACCAAAGGATTTCAAGATAAAAGCCCTAGTTCTGCGATAAAAGCAAATGAAATAAACTTTGAAAAGATCGTACATTTTGCGAAAATTAATTTAGAAACCTAATATTTTTGGAAGTTTATATGATATTGAAAAAAAAATGTTAAATTAATATTTTCGAATATTAAATTGCAACGTCTGTAAGACATTACTTTAATAAACATTAAATATTTCGCTGCAATATTATTTATAATGTTATTTTATGGTAATATATCAATATTATAGAAATCTCCAAATCAATGTCAAAGTATGTTTAAAATAATGTATTCAACATATTTGAAAATGTGTTACATTATTGAATATCGTTGTATAAATAACATCGTAATATAATAAATTTTATATTATTGGGTATATAGTAATTTAATGTGATTGGTTGTGCTATTGGATGTACTCAGTGCAAAAAACGTTATTTATTTTAGATGTCTTTCTTGAAAAAAGTTGTCCTGATAACAGGGGCCAGTTCAGGAATTGGAGCTGAAATAGCTATTTATCTGGCTCAGCTTGGTGCATTACTGTCGATAACAGGGCGTAATAAGCACAATTTAGAAAAAGTAGCTGAACAATGTGGACAATCCAAGCCGTTTATCATAATGGCAGATCTAGCTAATGAGAACGATGTGAAAAATATTATCGACTTGACAATCAAGCATTATGGGAAATTAGATGTTTTAATTAATAACGCTGCAATTTTTGAATTAGGTAGTATAGAGACTGCAAGCTTGGAACAGTATGACAAGTATGTAATGATAAGTTGATAATATGTATAAACATGGATATTGATGAATTATGTTTTATTTTAAAAACATACTGATATAACAAAGACGTGTTTTTGTTATAAATATATTCAGCATTTTCAACGTAAACATTCGGTCAACATTCCAATTGACTGCGTTGGCAGTGCCACATTTAATCAAAACGAAAGGCAATATTATAAATGTTTCGAGCATAACTGGATTACGACCATTCAAGAATAATCTGCTATATTCCATGAGTAAGGCGACTTTGGATCACTTTACGCGTTGCATTGCTTTAGAATTGGGATCACGACAGGTAAGGATAATGGCTATTTTCGTTTTTCAACAATAGCATTATAAATATTATTTTGCACGTCATAAGTTATTTTTTTTAAATACGATAGGTGCGTGTGAATTCCATAAATCCTGGCGCTGTAATAACACATCTCTTTCGGAAATATGGAAGCCAAGAACAGATTAAAAATTTTTTCGAGCAGTCGAAAGAATGGCATGTTTTAGGAAGAAACGGCGATGTTTTAGAAATCGTAAAAACCATTGCATTTTTAGCCAGTGACGATGCTAGTTTCATAACAGGAGTGACATTATCTGTAGATGGAGGTATGCATATTATGCCACCTGCTGTAACTTTTGCGTCACTTGTATAAAGAAAAAGTATTTTATATTATTTTTTTGTTGTGCTGGGTTGCCCATGGAATACCAATATTTTCGAAAAATCAGAAAATTTATTTTAAATATTTTATGAAAAAAGATAATTACTATATAATGGAAGAATCTGAAAATAAAATTTTGGTGTATTTTTTATTATAACAGAAGATAATAAAAGAATCTTTTAAATTAAAAGGCGGTTTGAGGTTAGAATAACAATCCATTTTACGAAAAAATCGTTTCATGGGGAATGAAGCCATAAAAAAATCGGAACGTAAAAAGTGATCATAGTAACAAAAAATTTAAATAATTTTCAATAAAATTGACTTTCGAAGTAAAACTGTTTATTTTTTTCTGTAACAATTTAAGCGGTAAGAACATGATGATATTATAAGGATTCTTAAAACTATATTCTTGTCTGTAATTCGCATACATTTTGTTGAAAATCTTTGAATAAAATCCTTATTATATCTAAAAGCTGAAAAGTCTAGTTATTGCATAGCAAGTCTACATCTAATAAAGTCATTAGAATTATGAAGTACCGCAAACTTGCCTCCATTTTTATGTAAAACGCGGTCATTTTTAAACTTATGTATTTGTATAAACATACTTTATTCGGAAAATAAAGCGGTTAAATATGTAAACCAACTTTTTAATTGTAAATAATTTATTTATTAGGGTCTCGTGTGACACTTTCGTACTGTCAACATCTCTGCTCGCCACTCTGCTCTGATTTCGCTTTCCTTGTTCAACGCAGAGCGTTCTCTCTTATGAGAAGTGCTGCCTATTTTATATCATTATTGTGCTTATTTTGTAGTCATTGGTGCTTATTGCAACACCTTAGTTTTTTATCTTCTAATTTTTTAATTTTTTACTTTTAACGTTTTTGCGAATGCTGGTCGGCGAGCAGAATGTATTTCTGTGAGTGACGCGATCTTTCTGCGTATTCCTTATTAATTCGTTTGTACTGCGTTTTTTTTTACATTTTTGTAATATTTTATCATTGCGTAATAATTTTTTAAATCACATCATAATTTTATGTTTAAAAGTCTTAATATTTATGTTTAAATCTAGCCGTTATATTCGTTATCGTTATTGTTTATTCGTCTCTGCCTTTGTTAAAGGACAGGCACAGTTATATTATAATTATTTTGTTATATTACTGCGTGCCTTATTGTGCGATCCTACGCGTAAACACTTCTCTTGTACTGTGCCTAATTTCGTGTATTTTAGCATGAGTAAGTCAACGTGTGCCAAATGTAAACGCTTTATTTCGCGTAAGCGCCCTTGCGCTTTCTGTGATGCTGACAATGATTTGCGCCTCTCCGATGATTGCGATCTTGTTATTGAGGCTGTGTGAGTGAGCATCGTTACCTCTGCTTGGGGTGGTGCCTCGTTGGATGGTTGCGTCTCATCGCCTTTTCTCTCACCTCGGCCTGACGAAAATGACGAAGTGCGGTGTCTTTCCGGATGCCTTCTGATGTCTCATTGGCTCTTTCCGTAGTTAAGTCCTCCTTGTCTAATCTAACTAAATTCATCTCTTTTTTGGAACACAGAATTGCTCGTATTGAGTCAGGACTCTTCTAGATCGTTTCGAGCCTATTCTGGAGACGTTCAACGCTAGGATGATGAAGTTTGATGGAGTGCTAAAGTGTCTCGGGGATGCTGAGGGTGCGACGAGTTGACTGGTGGCGATGATGGATGGCCTATCCGCCGATCTGGCTGCTATGGATACTAGGCAGGTCATCCTTGAGGAGTGTCTTGCCAAGCTAGAGGTGGAGGTGCGTGCTGACCCTGCGTCTTCTGCTGATGGTTCTCATGCCTTACCGAATGACTGCTAGTTTTGAGCGCATAATCAGTGAGCAGAGGGACCATGAGCTCATCGTATTCGGTCTACCAAAGGTCCCTTCAGAGAACTGCACTGAGACTATAACTAAAGTTTCATCCTCCCTTGATGTCTCGATGTCTTCGTCGGAGATTGCGCGGGCCTTCAGGATTCCTGGCAGGAATTCGTTCTCGTCTCCACTTATTGTCAAATTTATAACAATAGCGAGGGGTAGTGAGTTAATCGCCAGGGCTCGTTGGAGGAGTAGACTGAATGCATCCGATGTCTGCGGCTCCTGGCTGACTGGTAGGATCTCTATTTGAAAGTGGGCTACTGCGTCCTCAAGTTCTTTTCATCCTCGTCCTGTCCCTCTCATCTCGCTCTCTTGTCTTCGCCGCTTGCGTCCGCTAGAGGTAGCCGATGCGTGACTTCTTGCAGATCCATCTCAATTTTCGGAGTTGGAATCAGGTGTCTTTCGCAATGGCAGACTGCGTGTTGCGCATATCAACGTTAGGTCGCTTGTTCCGCATGTTGCGTTAGTCAGAGACATTATCGCCTTTCACCGTTTGGATATTCTGCCGTCGGGACTTGGTTGCGGAATTCGATTGACTCTAGATCCGTTGACATAGATGACTACGTGCTCGTTCGCTCGGACAGATCCACAAGTCGCCGCGGGCGGTATCGCGCTATATATCGATGAGTCTCTCCATTTCTCTCCGATCGGATTGGGCGTCCCGCCGGTGAGTACTCTTACTGACATTGTTGCTGTGTCTCTCCAACTTGCTCGTGGTCGACGGGTAATGGTTATCTGCGTATACCACTCTCTGAGTGCATCACTTTCTGACTTACATTTTATAGAGTCATGGCTGTCCTGTGTGGCATGTATAACAGAAGCGATCGTGTGCCTGGGCGATTTTAATGTCGACATACTTGGTCAAATTAATTATAACTGTTGATATAACGTCGCTGTTTTCTCTTAGGCAATTAATTGATGCTCCAACTCGCTTAACATGTAATTCCAACCACCTTGGATCTTATTTTTGTCTCGTCGAGCATTAATGTGGTTGAGTGCGGAGTTAGCGATGCGATCAGTGTGAGTGACCATCTTATTATCCATGCGACGCTGGCTATTCCGCGATCACATCGCCCTGGTCGTGTGTCTGTCTCGCGTAACATTCATGCAATCAGCCTGAAGATATTGAGTATGAGCTGGGGCTGATGGACTGGTCTCCTTTATATGCGGCGTCGTTGATGAGATGGTCTCTTACTTTACGGCTTCTCTTACTGCAATTTTTGACCGACTTGCCCCGATTACTTGTAGGCGTGTTTCTCGTCCGCGCCGTGACTGAATGATGCAGTCCGACGGCTCATTGAGTTACTGAATACTGTTCGTCGTGAGAAAAAGTCCTTCCTCTCTACCTTCCTTAAAACTGATTCCTCGCTCCAATTCTGGAAAAATCTCCGTACCCTTGGCGGGGCATAATCCTCGTCTGCTTCTATACCTTTACACCTCAAAAACTCTTCCCTCCTGAATAATCATTTTCTTGATGCTCTACTTTCTTCGTCTTATTCCTCTAACTCTTTCACCCTCTTTCCTTCTCTCCTCACGTTTCCTCGACCTTCAATTTTGCTCTAATCATTCTCAGTGATCTTTACAATATTTTTAAGCATATTCAGGCGCATTCGCCTGACTTCCACTGGGTCTCTTGATTTCTCCGATCGCATACCCCTACTATGCCTTCCTCAATGTCTTGATACCCTTCTCTATATGTTAAATTTCTCCCTCTCTCACAGTACCTTTCCCTCCTCCTGGAAACACTCAATTGTTCTTCCCATTCCTAATAACCTCTCTTCTCCTTCATCTTTTTGCTCTATCTCACTCCCCCCTTTCCTCTCAAAGCTACTTAAGTATATCTGCTTCTCACAGCTTAATGTTTTTGTCTCCAATTCTAATATCCTTCCCTCCTGTCAGTCTGATTTTCGTCGATCTCACAGCACGACGACGGAATTGCTTCACATTTCTGACGTTGTGCTTCGTAATTTCGATAATTGTCGCCTTACTTCCATTATTGCGCTGGACTTCACAAAGGCTTTCGATATCGTCAATCATGATCTATTTTTAGATAAACTGAAGTTATGCGGTCTTTCCCATTCTCTCTCGCTAATCTGCTTATTCCTTACAAACTGCACGCAGCAAGTCCTCGTATATAATCCTTTTCCTCTTTTTTCATCTACTCGTGCCATTCTCTCTGGTGTTCGCTAGGGTTCCATTCTAGGACCTTTACTTTTTAATATTTTTGTCTCTGATTTGTCTAATATTTCTCTGTTCTCCGAGCTCTTCATGTATGTAGATGATGTATGCGCTTCTCAAATTCTTTCACTCATTTTATGTTTTAGCGTCCTGTTCTGCTTTGAATAAACTTAAAATCTATCGCCGAATGATCCACTAATAATGCCCTGCATCTAAATCTTTCTAAATCATCCTTGGTAATTGTCGGTTCCTCAACATTGTTATCCCGTATTCAGTCCTTTGACATTTCTCTTAATTCTATTTCAATTCCTCGCTCCTCCTCTATTAAGATTTTTGGTGTCTATGTTAACTCTTCATGATCATTCGAGTCACACGTGGCCGTCAAGTGTCGGACTGTTTATATTCGTTTATGTCTTCTTTATCCCTTTCGCCTTTCCTTTCGCCATCCTTTCCTGCTCTCAAAAACTCCTCACCTCTCAATTACTTGTTATTTCTCTATTTGATTACGCTGATGTCGTCTGTATTCCTGCTCTTAACCAACATCTGCTAAATCGTATAAAGCGCATCCAAAATTCTTGTCTCCGCTTCTCCTGTATTCGTAAATATGTACCTCCGTATTACCAGAGATCTGGCTGGCTAAAAATTTGGCAACGTTTTATTCTCCATCTATGCTATCTTGTATTTTCCTTCCTTCGCTCCAATATTCCTTTATATACGACGTCTCCTTCAGTTGAACTTTAAGCATCATTCCTCTTTTAATCCTCTTGTCACCACAATTTATCAAAATTTCTTATCCTTTCCCATATATCAGTCCACTAAGCTCTGTGCTTTCTTCTACACCTCTGTCAAACATTTTATATAATTCCCTTCCTGATTCAATAAAAACCTTTCCCTCTCTGTCCTCCTTTCATTCCGCTGCCTCGCGTTTCATTGCGTCACTCACATATTTAAACGAGACTGATATAATTAATGTGTTTGCGTGTGTATGTATGTAAGTGAGTGTATGTGTATAGATGTATGTGTGTGTGTATGATTTCAGACA